TAGTATTAATTTCGTATTGTTCGTGTTTAATATTAATCCAAACTATTTATTATTCGTATTAACGAGTCGTGTCATATATGAGTTTGTGTCAAAAAATGACTAACATTAATCCACTAATTTTGTGTTGATTTTGAATCGTATTTTTGTGAGAATTTGTTATCCCTATCTAATGGTCCTTTTTTTTTTTGAACAATACCTAGGGGTGCTTTACCTTCGGACTATCTATGTAAATATATAGCTATACACACATTCACACATGAATTTATATACATATCCATTTTACCCACAAAAAGGCCAACCGATGTTTATGACAGATGCGAAGTTTGAAGATAATGGGATAAATGTAATCCTATTCTACATATAGAAAGATTACTCGATCAACTCGTCAGGCCAAAATAAGAAAAAAAAAAAAAAAAAGTGATAATTCTCCATGGTTGTGGTGCAAAATGGTGGTCAAACTTTATTTTTTAAAAAAAATAAAAAATATAATTAAAAAATAATAAAAGTTATAAATTTTTTTAAAAAAATTATTACTTTTTAAGTTAATTTATACTTTTTAAATATAAAATTATAATTACTTAAAATAATTTCATAATTAATCATAAAATATTACGATCGATCTTGATAATAAAGTGTAATTTAACCTAAAAAATAATAATTTTATTTTTAAAAATTGTAAATTTTATTATTATTTAATTATAATTTTTATTTTTAAAAAAATATAACTTAATTTTAAAATATTTTAAATTTCGAGACGATAACGTAATTTTCCTCTTCGGAACGAGGTGAATGAACACTTTACTATTAACGGCAATTTTTGGGAAGAGAAAGGTCATTTGCAAACATGACGTTGGATGTGATAGTTTTCAATTATATTTGAGAAGTGACAGCCATTTTTTCAGCAAAGTTAGGGATAACTTATAAGAGCATTTCTAATAATATTATCTAAAATAATTATTTAAAATATATTTAAATATTATATTATCTATTTTGATTAACTATTTTTTTAAATACATTTTAACAACGCTATCTATTTTAGATAAACATTTCAACTAACTTTCAATAATAAAATTCAAAAAATAACAATTCAATTATACATTGTACAAATTTAATCAATTATAGATTACAAGAGAGAACTCATCTCCCAAAAATTACTACTCCCAAATCAAATTTTCTCAAATTAAATCACAAAATTTAAAACAAAATCACCTCAAATTACACAAATAACCGAAGTCAAGATTTTTTAGGGGTTTTACTGAATTTTTGGGATGATTTATTGGATTTTTTTAGGGATTTTGTTGGATTTTTGGGGGGAGTTTACTGAATTTTTTAGGGGATTTTGTTGGATTTTTAGGGAGTTCTGTTAGATTTTTAGGGGATTTTGTTAAAATTTTTAAGGGTTTTGTTGGATTTTTGGAGGGGGTTTTACAGAGTTTGGCGATGAAGACGATGCCACCGCCTCTTCCAACACCACCCAGATCAGCAGACTGTAAGGCCACCACCCAGATCAACAGACTGTAATGAAGACGATGACACTGCCCAGATCAGCAGACTGCGATGAAAACGATGTTTATCAATCCAGAGTTTTTGAGAGAGAGAGAGAGAGAGACCATACTTGCTTTCAGTCGGTGAGTCAAGCCTTCAATCGGTGCTCCTTCAATTAGTGGAGCAAGCCTTCTGCGATGAAGCCTTCATAGTTCCTAAAGGGTGTTGTGCAAAGAAGCTTTCATCAGTTTGTTGGATAGCTAGCCTTCATCAATCGCCAGAGATAGCTAGCCAAATGAAGGCTATGAAAAATACGTGGTGTGATAACTAGTCTGTTGGAGTTCAATTCTATGGCTTGCCTATGTAAAATTGCTAAGAAGACCAATTTATTGAGCCTCTTGAAGTTGCTCTAACAGAAGGGTCCAGTTAGCTAATCTCCACTTTCTTAATTAGTAAAATTTTAAGAAGCAATTTTTGCTAACTTAATTGTTTTATGTTATTTTATTATTATTAGAATCAATGATTATAAACTAATCAATCAAAATCAATGACTCTCGATAATACCCTCATTTTTTGGAGTACAATGAGCTTTGGCCATGCCAAGGATTTACTATTGATCATAATATAAAAGAATCTTAGTATTTAGGATCAATACTAGACGATCTTGTTTTAATATAATTTTACTAAAATGAATTGTAATTGTGCCTACATTTTATATTAACTATTGACACAATATTAAAAAAATATATTTTTATTACCATAATTGTTCATGATAATTATGAAAATATCTAAATACATTACATAGAGATAGTTTAATTTGTAGAAAATTATGGGGGGGCAATGGTAGAAATTTTCTCAAATTGAGAAATTTTATTGTGGGTTTAAACACACCACGTCACGGGGTGGACATCATTAATAAAATATTTGTTCATTATAAATGATTGTCATCTAACGCTTTGTAAATTTTTTTAATTTGTGTGTTGCACGAGCTCGTTTTATCACTGTCTTTCTTTGAATGTGTACATTACATGACGGTGCAACACATTTAAAATTTTCTTAAAATAAAGTATCTGTTTCTTCTGCACCCACTGGCACCTACTTATCTCTGCAGAAGAGAGGAGAGCCTGAGTGGTCAAATCGGGAAATGTAAAGCTTCATTACTTTTGTTGTAATCTGACTATTATTATGGTAATGGGTTTTTGGTAACTTTTATCTTTTCCTCTTCCTCTGGGTTATTTCATGCGGTGTATAAGAAGCAGCCCAGTTCAAGAAATCTGGAGAATTAAAACACAAAAATAAATGAAACCTTTTAGGTATTGACTTTTTCCAGAAGATATTAATGAAGAGTTGCAAAATTTAAATGCTTGCATTTATTTTTGATTCAACAAAGGCTGAATCCACAAAAATAATTGTTATGAATTAAATCAATAAATTATATCCCAATAATATTATTGAAATTTGAATATTAGCAATTCTTATCGGTGAAAATGAACATCATACGTTTCTACCCGAGAAAAACCTATGATAACATGAAAAAAATCTATGGTGTACTATATCCATGTTACAATCCATTATGGTCATATTACAACTCTAGCCTAGTTGGCTTTTAGTAGAAGATGAAAGTCCCGTTCACTTTCGGGAGTTATGAGTTTGAACTCGCTTGTGATAATAGTCTATGTGATCAAGATACTGTAGGAGGGGCCAAGTGTTCAACTTACTCTCGGTGCTGCTGTGGTGACAAGCTCGATCATTCTAAATAAGTAAATATAGTCTAAACGAACATTTTACAATAGATGAGAACCTTAACGTTCTGAGGGAGTCGTTGCACTTGGTCACCCTACCACCCTTTTCACCAAGCAAAAAAAATTAAAAAAATTACAATTTTGATCCAGCAAAGTCGAGTTAAAATCAACCCAAAAATTTTAAAATCGATCTTGAGTTGGTAGGATTAACACCAATATAATTTCTTTTTGGATTGACCTTAAATCTTGTGGATTATCACTTGATTTTATTGGATCGTAACATAGTCTCATTAAATTGATCAAATCTACAAGACAATAAAAAAACAAAAAAAAAAATTGTGAAAAAAAAATTGATCACATGGCATCTGAGGTAGGCCCTACTGGTCTTACTTGGGGGCACAAAGGTAATAATAGAAATTGCAGAAGATCGGTGCCCGCTATTTGAGGTTTTCTAATTCTATTGGGACATAATTTGAAGATATAATGAGTTATCACCAATAATATGATAATAAATTCATTAATGTTATAATGGGACCCATAATTAAATGTATTTTACTATTATTTTATTGATGATAACTCATTATATCTTCAAATTATATTATTTAATTATATCCCAATAACATTAATATTTCTATTAACCCTAGGGTTAACACAGTTTGGGAACCGAGGAAAAAGGCTTACACACCCTCTTAACTGTGAAAATAACAGCTGCACAAGTGAAAGCTAATGACCGCCATGCACACGTCCCTTTCCCACTCCAATCCCCCACCTCTGCCGCCTCTGCCCCTCTTTCTCATGCACACACCCACCCATTGGGAATGCCAACCACACATTCTCTCTCTCTCACTCTCTCCCACTCATCTTATGATACATCACCAACTTGTAAAATCTACATACAAGTATGAGCTACAATCACTTATTAACTTCTAAGGGACTAACGACGTAATAACTCAGTAACTTGATAAATTTTTTCATAATTAATAGGTTAAGGGTTTGAATATCTCATAAAGTATAATTCTTTGAGATTTATCCTTTGTGTAGAAACGTGACTTTGCACAATTTATCCCTCGTATAGGGAAACAATTTTGAACAAAGTTCAACATTAAGTCGAAACAAGAGCAGAGTAGTACTAAAACGGTGATCTGTTCGGATAATTTGAATATCAAAAAAAATAAATAAATACTTATGTTAGAGTTTAATGATGTGACCGTGACAAAGTTTGATAGTATTTTTGTAATGGTAACTATTAAACTTTTTTCGTTAGGATTTCATCACTTAATACATTATTATGTTATCAAATTAAATCAAATTTTTATGTTTATTACTCAAGTATGAAATACAAATTTTTTCTCTGGGCACCACAGTGCAATCCTAAAGAAATAGAGAGTGAACAAGGAACGAACAGTTTCTGGCTTTGTTATATCTGCTGCTATATTAGTGGGTCTCTCTCTCTCACACACACACACACTCTTGTTCTTTCTCTAGTCTTGATAACTCAAAAACATTCAGAAAGATCAGATCCAAGGTGGTTAATCTGTTCTATCAATCAATCTATCCCTACCTCGATCAGTCAATCTATCCATCAATCAAATCAAACTCAGAAAGAGAGGAAATGTCATCTTCTTCTGCTTTTTCACCGGNTGTTCTATCAATCAATCTATCCCTACCTCGATCAGTCAATCTATCCATCAATCAAATCAAACTCAGAAAGAGAGGAAATGTCATCTTCTTCTGCTTTTTCACCGGATCACCACCACCACCCCATCTCTCCCTCCGAGCAGCTCTGTTACGTCCATTGCAACTTCTGCGACACTGTCCTCGCGGTCTCACTTTCTCTCTCTTCTCTACATGAATATTCCTAATAATATCTTCTTTACCCCACCCAAAACCCCATGTTGTTCTACTCAATCCTTTCCTAATTTGCATCTTTTGTGCTTTTTTTTGTGTGTGTGTGTTGTAGGTGAGTGTTCCTTGCACCAGTTTGTTCAAGACTGTTACCGTTCGATGTGGCCACTGCACCAACCTTCTGTCTGTAAACATGCGAAGCCTCCTTCTTCCTGCGGCTAATCAGCTTCATCTTGGACATACTTTCTTCTCTCCCCAAAATCTTCTGGTACATGATGCAAATTAGGGTTTTAAAATGTGACAGGGTTGAAGTTTTCTTCATCCCAATCGAATTCCTCTCTCTCTCTCTCTCTCTCTCTCTCTCTTTTTCTTCTAGGTAACCATTTTAATTATTTAACCAAAACCAGAAACAAGAAGTTTTAATACCTATGCCCCCTTGCTTTTGCCTCTAAACCAATTACAAAGTCCAACTTGGAATGTGAAGTACAACAAATGGTTAAGGAACAACACTCCTAAGTCCTAATTAGCTTGAAAATCAGCACAATGGTTGGCTTTAACTTGCTTTCTTTTCTCTTCAACATGCTTTCTTTCCATCTCAAAATTTTCTAATATATGACATAAAATTAGGGTTCTAAATGTGGGAGCATGCTTCTTTTTTTTTTTTTACAGCATGCTTCTTTTTCTTACTAAAATCCTAACATATTTTCGGGTAATGTTATATGTTTTTCTTGGCTATTTTGGTGTATACATCAGGAGGAAATTCGAGGCTCGCACACAAATTTGTTGATCAATCAGCCCAATCCCTATGAGTCAATCATGCCGGTTCGAGGAATTGATGAGCTTCCTAAGCCTCCAGTGGCTAACAGACGTAAGACTCTTTGCACACAACACTTCCTTTACCTTTCCAAGCTTTGATGTGCCTTTAATCTCAAGGACCATTACTGGTTTAAGCAACTACATGCTTCAATGGTTTTCTGGGTCCTTGTTGAATCATTATTGGTTTTACTCTTTAAATATATGCAATCCTTTGATTCTAATCAGTCAATTCAAGCCTTTCCAATATTCAGTAGTCTCTTTAGAAGATTAAGAAGGAAATTTTGTAAGAACTTCAAACTTGTACTTTTTTAAGTTTACTTCAAAACAGTTTCTATAAACCTTACTGGTCTCAAGTTGGAATAGTCTTTTTAACATTTATCTCTCTCATGCATTCCCTTCTTCTTCATGGTATTCTACTTCATACATTACTTACTACCAAAAAACAAAATTTACTTCGAATCTGCAACTATACTCAGTTTCATTGTTGATCAACAGTGTGTTGTGTTTCCAACACAATTCTTCAGTTATATTCCAACTCATTGTGGCTCTTCATTTTAAGAAACATTTCCTCATAAACTTTGAAGTTTGAAGCATAAAGTATGTCCCACTTTTTCTTTTTCTTCGATGCGTTTTACAAATTTCTGTTCACTTTTAGTATAACCTTCAGAGTCTTATGTATTTATTTTATTTTATTTTTTTGGTGATTTTAGTATAACCTTTCTTTTGTTTGTGTGTCTGAGTTTTCTCCCCCGGAAATTAAGATGCTGTAGGATCAATGAATAGATAGAGATAATGATGAAGTGATGATAGAGTAGAAGAGAGAGAGAGAGAGAGAGAGAGAGAGAGAGAGAGAGAGAGAGTGGGAAGATAATAAAGCAGAAATCTAAAATGTCAGCGAAGTGATTTTAATGTCTGTCTTGTTTGTCTATATGTGTGTCCATATGCAGCTCCGGAGAAGCGACCGAGAGTGCCATCTGCCTACAACAGGTTCATCAAGTATGTAATAATGAAAACCATACACACACATATATACATTGTACATATATGTAGAGATAGAGGTTGTTTTTAGTTCTAACATTTAATTTTTATATCGATGCACTTCATTAAATTGGTGACATTTCTTCTGTATATTGGTTCAGGGACGAGATCCAACGTATTAAAACTGTAAATCCTGATATAAGTCACAGGGAGGCCTTCAGTGCAGCTGCAAAGAATGTAAGATCCAAGTTAAAATAAAGACATCTAAGTAGCTACTAGCTAGTCACCTCTTCTTGGTTTTTTTTTTCCCTTTTAGGCAGTGTTCTTTTGTTTTCCTCATCCTGCCCCTATATTAGGGTTTATTTTGCAATTTTTAATTGTTTTGGTTTTCCTTTGTTTTATGGGTTTCATTTGGTTTCTTGCTTTCAGTGGGCCCACTTCCCACACATTCACTTCGGACTCATGCCTGATCAACCCGTGATCAAAAAGGCAAATGTGTGCCAACAGGTACTCTAAACCCTAGACCAAACTCTTTGTATTTATTTTTTTCGGTAAGTAAGATTAATTTCTATTAACCGAAAAGATATGTACAAAAGCATAACCCAGTGACAAATATACCAGTGCACAGAGAACACTCTCAATTACCATTGCATGCATGTTTTTTTTTTTTTGCATTCATAATATGATCAAACTATGTTTTTCGGTAATGTAGGATGGAGAGGACGTTCTCATGAAAGATGGGTTTCTCTCTCCAGCCAATGTGGGTATGTCCCCCTACTAAGAACGTAGGTGAAGATGTTAGGGTTTCTTTGCTAATCTTTCCTGTATGTGAAAAACCAACAATCTTTGGTTTTCTGTGATTAGGGTTTTCTTTATGCTGTCTTCAACAAGACTCTTAGCAATCTGTGTTGCTTGGTGTCTGTCATTAATGGTGGGAAATGAGTCAAGTGTAGCGATTCATCTTTGTAGAACCCATCTGAATTGAGGCTCTTCAGTATTGATAGATATCATGCATTTTGTATCTTTGAACCTTTTCATATCACTACTTATCTCTATGTTTGAATTCTGTTGCTGAACTGTCCTTATAAGCAACAACTTTCTCTGCACCCTCTTGCCTTAGCTTAACAATTTAGAATAGTGATGATTAACATGGTATAAGAGCAGGAAATCCTACTACATTATGAGTTTTGTTAACTCCGATCATTATATGACTTGTGCGTGTTTGATCCAAAGTCAAGTCTGCACGTGTCAAAATTTATTGAAATATATAAATACTTATGTTATGTTATCTCTTAACACCTAAAATTTACGATAACATGCTAGTCTAACATAATGACTTAGTAATTCTTGAGAAATATCTTCAAAGAGACTAATTATATCTATGAGCTTAACTTTTGGATGAGATGGTAGCTTAACATCAATCATCAAAATGTAGATACTAAAGCTAAAGTAGGGTTTGGTAATAATTTTTTAGGTACTTTGTTGTTTTAATTGAAGTGCATTTTTTTGCAATATTTTGTTGTATATTTGCNTTGGTAATAATTTTTTAGGTACTTTGTTATTTTAATTGAAGTGCATTTTTTTGCAATATTTTGTTGTATATTTGCTTCTTTTTTTTTTCCTTGAAGGAATTTACTTCCTTAAAGAGTATTATTTAAATTTGGAAATTCATATAGATCACTTTTACTATATGGTTATCAAACATACCTTTTTTTTTTTGTGACAAAAGTTTTTTTTTTTTTTTTGCTTAAAAAAGTGTTGTGAAATTATATACACGAATGTGTTAACATGTGTTTATGAATGGGTATGTGCACACGAATGTTGATCTATCTCCTTTGAAACATTCCATTTAGGAATTGCATGAACAGCAACTGGGATCCTCATAGAGTTATCACCATTGATTATCTATGAAAATAAAAGAACGATAAGTTTTTGTGGATGGCTTTGGAAAGAAGGTTAATATGTATCTCGTCTTGGAACCAAACTAACAATGTTAAACCCTAAGTCTGGTCGAATTCGAACTCATTACTTTTAGACTCTGATCTATGTTAAACATCATCTATTCTAAAAGTTTACACTGATAGAGACGAGGTGTAACATATCTATTTACCGTAAAAAAATATGTGCTCAAACATTTATCTACATAAACACCCATATAGCATTATGTAAAATTCTTGTACTTGCATTCTTAAGGATATATCTGTAATATCACTCAAAATAATATTGAAATAGATTGAATTGTTAAGGTCCAACTAGTTGCTTCTAGGGCATTTTACTGAAATAGTTTCACTTTCCATTGGAAAAATAAGAACTAAAAATTTTCCTATGCCTATCTTTAGAGATTCAATGACAATTAACTAATTTAATTCGGTTTATTGTGAGATCGAAATTGACTAAAAGTATATTTCATTTACAAAACACAAACTCAAAAAAAAAAAAAAGAATTAATTGCGAAAGCGACTTATTGTTAATGTATATTACATATCCCTCTCAGTCGCAATTATAGATAATTTAAAAAAAATTGATTTGTCAAGAGTCGAAGAAACTAATGAATAAAGTCTTAGTTGAAGTAAGTTTAACGAGGGAAACAACCTCCAAAACTAGTATATATATTAGNTAGTTTCTCTATTTTATATCCAATCACAAAATGAAATGCCAAATTATTTTATTATTTTAATGATTGATAAATATAACTAAGTAAAATCAAGATAAACGATAAGGATTTGAATTATTTTTCCGGTACCATAGTGATAAAGAAGTTCTTTCATTTTTCTCACCCAAAAAACCTAGGGTTTGCATTGCTCATTCTAACAGTGCTTGTTTGTTTGTGTTGTGGGCTTCATTTGCTTTCTGTCTTTCTTTCAGTGGGCCCACTTCCCCCACATTCACTTCGGACTTATGCCTGAGCAACCCGTGAAAAAAGCTAATGTGTGCCAACAGGTACTCTCTGAACCCTAAACTAACCCTTCTTTCAATATCAATGCATTTCAATTCAAGCTTTACTGTTTTACAGACAACAATGTAATTAAACTTTGCTTTGGTTAATGTAGGAAGGAGATGAAGTCCTCATGAAAGATGGGTTTCTCTCTCCTGCCAATATGGGTGTCTCCCCCTACTGAGAATTTAAACCTGTTAGGGTTTCTTTGCAAATCCTTAGTGTCTGTGATTAGGGATTTCTCTTATGCCGTCTTTGAACATGACTCTTAATTAACAACTTGGGGTTACTTGGAGTCTGTCATTAATGTTGGGAGAGGATTTTGAAGGCTACAAGCCTAGAAGGTTTGAAGTCTAATGGTTAACCTCTATACTCTATCTGAAATGAGGTACTTTGGTGTCGATATTTGTCATGTAGTTTCCATTTTGAACCTTTTCCTTTCACTACTCGTCTCTGTGTACTTCTTAATCATTGCTTCAGATTTATGATTAATTTTTAGAAAAATGTTGGCGATGACTAAAACTGATCGAATCGTTTGCTTTATTGAAAAAAGCTTTCTTAGGGGTCTGCTTGGCCCCATTATTTCAATCATTACAGGTAGTGTTAATTAGCTTTGCGCGTAATGGACGGGGACGAATAATAGCATAGGCAGCAAAAATGCGAAAGAGAAGAGTAAAGATTCTCAACCGAGAACATGTTATTGATTCAACCACACTATCTGAATTATTATCTAAAACTTCATTGACCATAACTAAAACTCCGTTTAGGGGTGTTTTTGTGTGAGGCAAGCGACGACCTATTTTTGTGTTTTCTACCCTCATATTCTACATCTATTATGATTACCATTAACAAATGGAGAAGAGGATTGATGTCTATTCATTTATGAAATATGTATACTTCTCATGCTCTTTTCCCCTGTTAATTACCCTTATTTGTCTCCTCCAATCACACTCAACCGCCAATGTTATGGGGTTTTCTCTTTTCTCTTCCTATTCTCATTGCTCTTTTCATCTTCTCCTTCCAATCCCACTTCTTGGTAATCACACACAGGGGTGGTCATTTGTAGAACCCTCCAAAATATATGATCCATATAGACAAATCGAACATGTGTGCACATACATACAAACTTGTACAAATCATAGAGAGAGAAAGAGAGAAAAAGAGAAAATTTTCAAGAAATTCGCCAATTGTAAATCATCGATTTTTTTCTCCGTCAATGACAATCAATATTGGCAGGGTTACTTTACAGAACTGACATATAAACAAGAACGATGTGCAGTGAACTTTCAGATAATCCAGATTAAATAATGTTTTTAACCTTATATTAAATAATAAAAGTAGTATAAAATAAAAAATTAAATAAAAGAGAAGAATGTAATCTATAACAATCTCACGTCACATAAGACGTTGGACTAAGAGTAAGATAATTAGGTATTTTATCTAAACTTGTTTTTGGTTGGTTCACGTATCACATATTAATAATGACATATCAATCAAAATGTCATCAATCTAGTCTATTCTGTCTCGAATTAAGCTCTATACATCCAACTAGAAGTCTAGAACTAGTTAATGGAAAGGGAAGGACATCTATTGTTGGGATTCAACAACAATGTGAAATATGCAATCCTTAAAATTTTCATACATCAGTCTAACTGCACACCACTTGACTACTTGTTTAGGTTAGTTGCACTGCATGCTTCTTGTTAGCTTGTAAGTTTTGAAATTGCAATCTACATGAGTTCGCTGGCAACAACAGGCTGAACCAGGCCCATGAAATACAGTTTGCGGCCCATCCTAATGGGACTTTGGACTTGGAGGGCTAACTTTGGCTCGGTTATAACGGCTTCCTTTTCCTATTTTTCTAAATTTTCATATTGCTAATTTTTCTTAATTTTAGAAATTTGGAAGTCGGTACAAAAATTTGAATTTGATTGAGATAAAGTATGTTAAACAAACTTATTTGGCTATAAATGCATTTTTTTGAAAAAATACTAAAAGACCAATTATTACTCTATTCTCTCTCTCTCTCNTTTAAAATACACTCAGCAGTACAGGTTTCATTAGAAAAAGTCAGAAAAGGGGAGTACAAACATACAAGAAAAATGGAAAATTTTAACAATTTCTTATGTGCTGTTTTTAATCATTACCGTTATAAGAATATTCAGTTGTGTGACTGATTTGCAGGTTTTTCCCAATTTTCTTCCTCCTAGCGGAGCAACATATTGTTTTGCTAAAAATGAGGTATATTGGTCTCTTAGAACACCCACCTAATCCTGTCAGGCACGTGTAGTCTCCGAAGAGAAATTCTTAGGGGTGGGTTTAAATCACAGGAAGCATCTAAGCACTGTTTTTCTAGTGTTTCTCCCAATTCTACACAAGACATCAAATGGTAAAAGTTTAAGCAAAGTCCAAGGACTGGCAATTTCGATTCGGAAAACTTGCAACTAGGTGAAGTTTCAGTGAACTCCGAGGGAATACTAGTGAATTGTGTGTAGGACTTGATTAAAAGGGCTACCCAGTGCACTCACCAATATGGTGGATGGAGAAAAGGTTATCCAGTTCACAAGAGGCTTGTTTGCAAATATGCCCAATCCTCATTCGGACTCTTGCCGAGCTCTTACTCTTGCCACTGTCAACATAGAAGGACGAGGGAGATGATGGAACAAAAGTGTTAGCAGAACACGAATCAATGCAGAGATGTCAATAATACGACAGCACGAAGTAATCACTCCACAACAGGAGACGTTGATGGCTAAATTCCCCATGCAATTTCATTCATCAAAAGCAGTGGTGAGGTTTTCAGGAACTACTTGAAGAGAGACTGCAAAGGAAGGTTCTGCGATCCAAAGCCCTTGGAGGCATTATACAACAGAACTGTACTTGGCTCGCACTTGCAAGAGACAAGTGACAATTTAAACACTTCAAAGTAACATATTTGAGATTCAAGTGAAAAACTAGTTGAAATCAACAAACAGAACAAACCAAGTTAACAATTTCAGTAGACAAGTTAAATCTCTGCTACAATTTTTTTTTTATCACAGTTGCAAACATCTCGGTGATGTATTTAGTGGACAAGATGATCCAAATCAAGAAACTTTCCCCAAGATTTCAATGCACAAAACCAGTAAAAATTGCATCTACAGCAGAATGATTCTATCAACAATTTCAATAGACAAGTCAACTCATTGTATAATTTTTGAGACAAACCAGTTACATACAATTTGATTTCATCTTTCAGGGTCTTTAGGATCTACCTCACCAACCAAAGAAAAGAGAGAAAAAGAAATGTAGAAAACACACTGCTTTGTAGTCATCTCTACATGAGACTCAATGGACAACACCTGAAGAAGGAGAGAAGAAAATCTAAGCAAATTCACAAACTATACACATTGTAACTAAATATCAAAAGATAACCAAAGAGCCACAATACAACATAGCCGGGAGACAGCAATTTCAAACATCTATTCATAAAGATTCCATTTAGTATACTGGCAACTAAAGCATCCTCTTTGAATCGACAACTCCAAAGCTATTTATTTCCAATTATAGGATACTTACCAACAAATCCAGCTCTTTGTATATCTCTGTTAATGGATGAAAACCCAAAGTGAATCCAAAAACTTGAAGCCAAGTAGCCAAACTTGCTCCGAATTTTTCATTGACAAACACACAGCAACCAGCTATTACTACTCTGCACATTTCAAGCCAGTTAAGTAAACCTTAGACTGAATCACTGTCTTCCCAATCTTAAACCCCGGTACTACTGTGAACCCCACCTTCGGCCTACTATTCCCTGGAGAAACGCCTTTCCTGGTCACATCTTCCATGTACACCATTGAAAATTCTACACCTCTCTCAACTTGAAATATCTCCACCACTGGATTAAACGAACGAGCCAACTTATGTAACAACCACATTGAGCTCGACATTTTAACAAATGACTCATAGAACACACTCAATGATTTCCAAGAATCCAAAACCACATCTTTTCTATCCATATTACTAAAAATGGAAGATTCCATTGCAGGGTGTATAAGTTGCTCATACTTCCTCTCACAAAATCTTGAAAAATCACACTTGGGATTTTTACTTAAAAACTCCATTGGATTGCCCGAAACATGCTCGACTAATTGCTCCAAAGAATCATCATTCTTACCCGAAATCGAAACATGACCATTACACACAATTTCGTTTTCACTTGATCCAAAATCATCCAAATCAAAAGCTCTAAACATACCCAAACAAACATATGATAAAAGCGCGTACCGATTATGCCCTGTCTTCACATAATCAACATCGGGATAAACAGAATTTGCAGCCAAATCCAAATCCCACCCGGCTTTTTTCATCAAACCAACCAACAATTTACTAAAACAATGCAAGGTTTTACAGGCCTCGCGTAACATAGAATCGAAAACCCGAATTGTACACAAAACCTCAGTACCCAAATGTTGCTTCAGATTCTTCCCTAACCTTTTGGACAACTTTGAATTGGAATTTTCAATTTCCTGAAACTTTTTCCTCAGTAGCAAAATGTCGTCATCTTTTACATCCATATCTGACTGCAATTGGTTCACCATGGTCTCCAATGCTCGAAGCTTGCTCTGATTCTCTTGTACCTGAGCTTCCAAGCAAGACCCAGTTGGAATATCAAAATCAAACTTAGGATTCTTTCGAGAATTCCCGTATAATCGTCGTAATTCAGTTAACTTCTCTAGGGTTGAGACCAAAGATCGATCAGCAACAGCTAATGCTTTCTCGTCAATAGGCACATGGGCTGTTTGGAACTGTAAATACGAAGCTTCAAAGCATGAAATATTGGCGAACAAAGAAGAAATCAGGGTTTCTGTGAAATGGGTGTTGGAATTTGGAGCTGATGGTTGGTGCGTCTGGTCCGGCTTGATGATTATGACCTTCTGGTCGGTGATGAACCCTTCCGCAGAGTCCAGGAGGGAGAAATAGTTGTCTTCAGCTGCAGGGGTGGTGGCGGCGGTCTCCGCTTCATCGTCCGCGAAGAATTCGAAGGTTTTGGTCTTGAAAGCCAGTGCGAATTTCTGGAACATTTCGGAGATTTGCGGTTGTTTGGAAGGTCCATCCATTACTACCATCTCCCAATTCTTTCAACTCTCACTCTCTCTAGAGCCCCTAAGAAATTTCTATACATACATACATGAGAGTGTGTGTGTGTGAGAGAGAGAGAGAGAAGTAGGTTTTGCAGTGGGGGAAATGAGGGTGCTTTGGATGACTTAGAAGGAAGGTATGTGTGTGTGTGAAAGGTTGGCGATGTTGGAGTGTTCTATCGTTTTCTACTTTTCTTTGGTTTATTTATTTTCTTTTCCTTAAATTTGTTCGGACAGTGAGAGAGGTTTTTGATCAACGGTAAAGAGGGAGAGAGATAGGATGACAGGCAGGTCATGGTGGCTTTGAGTCAGTGGCTGACCAATTGGACACAACAGTAACCAAACAAACAAACAAAAGTTTGTACCTTGAAAGTTGGATGGTTGACTCAACGGCNCAGAGAGAGAGAGAGCGAGAGAGAGAGAGAGATGCATTATTGGGAGGGTTAGGTTTGGGTTGTTAGAACAAGGTCAAAAGTGGACACCTCAAAGGATACAGCTACAGAACTAAACAAGGCATTAACAATTTCTCATTTTGCTCCTATCCAGGGTTTTCTTTTTCCCTAATTACTTGCTTATGTGATGTGCAAATTTTCTAAATTTGTGCTACCTTCTTCTTCCTCTCAAAGGAAGGGTTAAATCTGGCATGAAAAAAGGAATTATTGTTTTCTACTTCTAGCTCAATCCAAGCAANATAATGGCACACATGATAATCTTGTACCACATAAAAATGTATTAAGTTTTTAAGACTAATCCCACATTTTTAAAAAAATTGTATTATGGTTCAAATTAACTATTGAAAGTTCGATGACCAATGATATAGTGGCGTAGGGCGTGGCGAAATGGAGTTGATTGTGCAACATTACATAATAGAGTGGATCATATATATTAGTTTTACTAGGATAGAGAATAGATTACTTTTACAAGGATTAAGTTCATATGATTGACTAGACTTGAGGTTCTCAACTGATAATTTATACATAAAATGTAACGTTTTTGAAATTTTTTTTTAAAAAAATAGTTGTTCCTGTGGTGTAGGTAGACTTCTACCCAACCATGTAAATCATTGTTAATTGTTCTTCANAACGGGTTCAGCTCCTCTGTAAAAACGATGTAGTTTTGATTAACAGTATCTCTGCAAAACAACGTTGTTTTGATTAACAATACATCTACTGTTAATTTTTCAACAGCTGAGGATCCTCAGTCGTGTATGACTTGTTTATTACATGCAAACACTTTCGAATCTCTTTACCAAAAATAATTAAAAATGAGCCAAAAGTATCCAAAGAGAAGCCTCATTAGGGATAATAGAGGTGTGCCTATACCATCCGAGGGAAATCTAGTTGCCTTGGTGTGNTCAATATTGTGTTCAAATAGTGTTCTGTCTGTGACAAATGATTCTTAATTTCTTTCTAACTATTGTTAACAGCAAGAAAAACAAAATCCTAAAACTACCCACAAAGTGATTGATTCAGTGTTTTTTCTAGCATGGGTTGGTGTGATATAATTGAGTGGTACAGTTTCATACTCAAAGTTTAGGAAGATGTAACAAAGGTCCAAGGACTATCAGACGAATTTTGAACTGTTCTCTGGGTATTGAAAGACATCTTAATCTTTGTTAGGTAATAAGCTGACCACTTACATGTGTTCTCCAAGCTGTAGCTCAAAGGTTTGACACCTGATNTTGTCCTCCATTCCCATCAGTGTTTTGTAAATAGACTCTCCCTTTCAGATCTGTATGTTTTGTCGATTGTGCTTTTGGGTTTGCCTTGAAGTACATCCTATATTCATTTTTTTTGGTAAATAAAAGAATTCTTTACCTCCAAAACAAAAAGATCAGAGAGAGTGGTAATGCTTGAAATGGAAGGAAAGTGATAAAGTTGTCCACTTTGTGAACTAAGGCATCCTCCTATATGACTCATAGTACTACTATAACAATGTTTTATTTGGGGGTGACAATTATTAGTATGACAAGTGACATAAAATTACTAAATTTGGATTTAATCTTAATATTTTGGATTATACTCGGAGTGATCCATTAAACTCATTTAACAAAAATAATAATACAAACTTGATTCAATAAATAGATTGAATATAACTTGATTTACTCTGATGCAATAATTTAAACACGACACAAACATGACACGTTTGAATCCCTCGCAAGCCCAACTCTACTATTTGTATAGTCTTTCTTTGTTCGGTGCCCGACACTAAATTATATTGATGATTGAGAACTTGGCATAGTTAAAAAGAAAGAGTAATTAGCTATCTTTGTCGTAGCAATCATGTTGCCGTCTGGGTGTTTGCATGCGGACCACTGGTCTTAACAAATCATTAGTTTATATAGCAAGGGACCATCTTTGCTTCTGAACTCTGACTGACCATGCTTTTTGGATCCTTTAATGAAGAGAAAGTAGCCACCTCAATCATTGGAATGGGCAGAAGAGTTGTTTTTTTTAGATACTTTTAATTTATCTTTTTCTTCTCTTCTTTGCATTTTGTTGATTAAGGGTTAGAGTTTAGTAATTGTTCTTCTAAAATTTGTTAGATCGGTAAAAATATTCAATCGAAAAATATTTTATGTCTAATCAGTACGTTACGATGCAAACCAATATTAAGGAATTCAGATTCACTCTAATACATTTTATCTGGAATTCTTTTAATAGTGGATCATTCACTATTACTTAGCGAGTGAGCCGCTTGCATATACACTTGAATACATGGTAGATATTCCACCAAAAAAAAAATTTAAGAGAAAAAAATGTATTTGAGAGAATCTCACTACAACATTAAGGGCGTGAGAGAATCCATTCCAGCATAAAACACTCATCGACGGCCCATGAAAGCAAGGCCGACATTATGTGTATTCTAGCGTTGTCCTGACAAATACACTTATCATGAAACGTGTTATGACGGGTGCTAGATGGAGGAAACATTTACTTGCTCTTAGATGACCATGCTAAGGCACAACTAGCCAAGTCCAAGGCATTGCTTGTTGCCTTGGCATGGTTACCCTAGCCTTAGTTATCAAACTAGTGTTGTCTAATTCACCGCATCGAGGAGGTGCCCTGGAGTAGCCTTGGATAATACTCTTAGTTTCACGGTGTTGGTAACGTTTGGAAATCTCCTTCGGTGATATATGTTTTTCATGCAAAATTTAATTCTCCACACACTGATTATACTTTGCTTATAACTTTGAGAGATCACTGTCATCTCAATAATTGGATTTGAACTAATGTTATGAGTGAGTTTGTTGTTATCCTCATTATAGTCCTCTTTTTTGGCTTGAATACATTTCTTTTTTGAAGGTGGTGTCTATTTCTTCGAAACAGTCGGTTTGAGGATCTCCATTATGACGTCTCTTTTCTAAATTGAAACAATTTAAGAAGGGCCTCCAACGTTGAAATAAATAGGTTGTGAGATTAATTTTTACAAAGATCAGGGAAACAAAATTTTAGGGTTCACTTATCGCAGCAAAAGAGGACTAATCTAGTGGTAGATGTCTTTCCCACTTTACACATAGTTGTAAGGTTCAACTCTAGCTATGTATGCTTTGACCAAAAAGATGGGGTTTGACTTATTCTTGACAATGACATTGTTTGAAGCAATGAAATATTTTGAGCCCAGGACTTTTGGGCCTTTGGGCCCCACTTTGCTTGTGACGTGACAAGAGAGACAAAGTCTTGGTCTTTCTAATTTCAACCTAGCAATAATTTCAAGCTTGGCCCACGGTTTTAAACATAGCCGAAGTAGTGTGTGAGACTTGAACGGATTAGGGCCTCAATAACCATGAGACCAAAGCCAAGCCCAATAATACTCCACAAGAGCTGGTTTGGCCTTTGAATTTAGAGGACCTAAGCTTCGGTTGTTTTTTCATTTCCTTTCGCAAAGATCCGAGACTCCGTGGGTTGATCCTTTGACTCCAAATCAAGTTGTCGTTCTTTTATAGAGCTCGTGTGATTCGAATCACAAAACCCGAAAAAAAGGTTCATCAACTTGCAAGTCGATATTGAACTATTAATAAGTGGAGACATGTGTTTGAATTTTATCACCACCAGTATTCATACCAAGTATTGGGACATAGAGCTTGTACGGCCTAATGTGAATCCGGAGAGGATATGCTTCCAAAAATTCTACCAATATCTATCCTTTCACGGTCCTTTTGGATAAAATTTTATGATCTCTAACTATGTTAGTCTGTTAGAAGTGTAATCGAAACGGTTTAGCGTGAATCAATCAAGATTCTCAACTAGAATTTGGATAAATATTTTTAATACTTGAATTAAATTCTAAAAAGCCCCAAAAGAGAGTTGGCCTTTGTCATATTTGCCATTAACATGCATTGTCGAGGTAGGACTTGCCCTAGCTTGCACAACGGCAGACTGGGTTCACAATTAATCTACGTATGTCAAAATCCAATACGTCACGATTAATTGCCATGAATCGATACGGATTGAACGGGTTCGGGTGAGATCTTAACGGGTTTGGATGATAAACGGGTCGACCCGTTAAACACGTTTAATAAATATGTCGTGTTCGGGTTAGACTTGTCAATCCGTTTGTAATTCATTTACCCGTTTAAATAAAATTAATATAATAATAAATTAATAATTATTTTTTAAAAAATAGCCAAAAAAATTTTTTCAGTGACAGACACACAAAAAAATATATAAAGATATGTTTCCCTAATTCTAAAGTCCAAACCCTAATTCTTTCTAGTTTCTACGTTGAATCCTTCAACTTGTACCTCTAACTCTTCTGCTTCTCTCTCTCTCTCTCTCTCTCTCTCTCTCTTGACAGCAACTCAGCGAGTAGTTGGTGTCTTGGGCCAGACGGAGACTTAAAACAAAGACATCGAAGGGATATGTTTTTTTTTTAATTTCTATTGAATCTTTTCTATTTACATTTCAAATTTTTAGAGTATGTACGAGTTTCTTTGCTTCTCTTCCTTCTACATGTGAGTGTATATATTCTATGGACTGCTTGTAAGCAATTATAGTGTAGAACTTTCAAGAGCTACTAGTGATCTTCAATGATTTAGTGTGGGATCTAATCTTTTATTCTTCCACAGCCCATTTTTTGCTGAAAATTGCAAGGCTAATAGGTCACAGGACCCAGACCCACCTTTTTTTTTAGTTCTTGCTAGTGTTTTGGGCACTTCTATATTCCTACAGATTTTAGTTGCTTGGATTCGATCTTCATTGGTGACTTCTAAGTTTTTGTTCTGTTTTATTTGTGTTTTTTATCTCCTTTTTGTCATTGNGTTGCTTGGATTCAATCTTCATTGGTGACTTCTAAGTTTTTGTTCTGTTTTATTTGTGTTTTTTATCTCCTTTTTGTCATTGGAAAACCTCAAATTGATGGATATCATACTTCACAGGAAGCTACCATGGCTCTCATATAATTTTGCTAGCTGAGTGGTCTGAATTTGCAAATATGCAATAGATTGTGGCCAATGGGTAATGAAATTTGTGATTTAAAATGCTGCCAGTTTTGACATACTTGCAGTTATACATTAAGCAAACATTCTAGGCCTTCTTGATGAATAATTGCTCTTATGAACATAGAATTTGAAACTGCAAAAATAGAGAATCTGAAATTTCAAATAACTAATATTTAAATTTTTAGTTTCTTTTTTTGAAAAAATTATTGACAATTATCTCAGCAACCAGACAGACATACATGGTATGCAATTTAGTTCTGTGTGCTGGATCATGAAAAGGAAAATAAAGGGAGTGAAAAAGAATGTCACAATCTAAAGTTTCAGGTTGTCTCCTCTCTTTTCCAATTTTCTTCAGTGGAAAGGACACAATTGACCATGGATTTGTTTTCCCATTTACTTATTTCTTAAGGATATGTAAACAATATTTTTCAGACAATTTGTCAAATCTTATGCTAACTTAGTTTTAAGGATTTACTTTTCAGTGCACTTACAAAGATTAAAGAGGAAAAGTTGGGAAAAATGCAGCTAACCCATCTTTCTTCTTGTTATTCCATTGGCGTTATTATTTTGGGGGGTGGAGGGTGGGTGCGAAAGATCCTAGTTTTGCGGAAAAGATATCATCCTTTGTAACATTGAACTTGATCTCTGTCCCTCGTTGAAAGTTGGTTAATTTTTTGAAATCATGCATTTTAAATGTCTTAGATTTTGGACTTTTCGTTACTTCTGAAGTTATCATTAATAGTTGAACTATATATCTGATTCTTATGAGCATCAGCTTTGTGGAATTTTTGGCCTGTGTTTGAGTTGTTAAATTTATGACTGAATCCTAACAACTTTTATTTACTATTAATGATTATGTCAAATTTTTTCCATATTTTTAACTTTGTTTTTTTAACTCTATTTTTTTGCCTTAAACAGATGGATTCTTCCAAACACAATTTTATAGTTTTTGATGAAGAAGATGAGGTCAGACATGAATCTAAGGTAGATGCAGCTCCAACAACACAGACATCAACTAGTACAACTANCTAAATTTATGACTGAATCCTAACAACTTTTATTTACTATTAATGACTATGTCAAATTTTTTCCATATTTTTAACTCTATTTTTTTGCCTTAAACAGATGGATTCTTCCAAACACAATTTTATAGTTTTTGATGAAGAATATGAGGTCGGACATGAATCTAAGGTAGATGCAGCTCCAACAACACAGACATCAACTAGTACAACTACAGAAAAAAGGTAAATCTAATCGTATGGGGAAATACACATACATCAACTGTGATTATTGATACATTTATGTTTTGTTGTGCTTAGTTGTAGATGATTTTAGTGATGATTTAAAAGGAAAAATAGATGATGATGTTTTCAATTAAAATATGAAGTCTAATAAAGCTAAATCTGTTCAATGTTCTAATTCTATATCTATCATTGATCATAACTAAAGAGAGGTATTGAAATATATAGCTTGTAATACTAAATTTTTGTTACTTATCTAGTTATAGCTTGTAATACTAAATTTTTGTTACTTATCTAGTTATAAGTCTATTTAATTATTAATGTTATATAATATTTCATTTTAATTTGTGTGGGACATGAGAATTTGGTTGTTGAATTTACTTGTTATCGTGGAGGTGGAGATTTGATCTCCTTCACGGAATTTTGTGAATCATGGAATTTCGTGGTTTGTAATATGATTATCCTCCTTTACGGGATTTTTGTGAATTATGAAATTTGGTGGTTTGTAATATGATTGTCCTCCTTTATGGGATTTTTGTGAATTATGGAATTTGGTGGTTTGTAATATGATTGTTATTTTGTGTAATTATGTTTTTTCATATTGTATTTATAATTTGTAATATGGTTGTTGGTGGGATTTAGTTATTTTGGATTATATTTTGTACTTTGTAATATGGTGTGATATTTCTCAATATCAATTTTTTTTTGTGTTAGTTTGTTAGTTTTTTAAAGTTATATAACATTTTTAAATAAACAGGTAAATGGGTCAAACGAGTGATTTACCTTGTTAACCCAACCCTACTCAACATTACTCGTTTAAAATTAAACGTGTTAAACGAATCGTGTCTTATTATCCGTTTATTAAACAGTTCGTGTTCAGGTTTAAGTTTTTTATTTGTTTATTAAACGTGTCATGTAGGAGTTTACATATTTTTTACTTGTCACCTGTTTAATTCGACACGTAATCATTTAATCCGATACATTTCACATCCCTAAGCTAACTNATGCTCATTGATTTTGCAAATGTTAGGTAAAAAGATCTTTGGAGGAGCCCAAAGGGAAACCTACATCAGCAGAGGTGAATAATCATTTTCTTTTCGTCGACATGCATATGTACACATGGTCTTTTCTGAGTTTATCACTCTGATGTCATTTTTTCTCAAGCTAACTTGATTTTATGCAATTATGTTGNTATGCTCATTGATTTTGCAAATGTTAGGTAAAAAGATCTTTGGAGGAGCCCAAAGGGAAACCTTCATCGGCAGAGGTGAATAATCATTTTCTTTTCGTCGACATGCATATGTACACATGGTCTTTTCTGAGTTTATCACTCTGATGTCATTTTTTCTCAAGCTAACTTGATTTTATGCAATTATGTTGACATGTTGAGGGACCACTAATGGGGCACTTTATATAGTTAGGCTAAACATTTTTCTTGGTGTCGTCGGATAGAAATATATCCACATAACACTATCCGATCAACATAGTAATTATTCAATTTGAGAAATTCTTGGAACAGAGTGAGATATTGAGAAGGTTCGCTGTTCAAGTTTGAGTAAACTAAGAATGCTTTCCTCTATTTCTTTGCTGGACCACCTATGCAGTGTGTTTGTGACATTAGAATATCATATGTTAAATTTATTTGCACCACTTGTCTTTAATGATGACTATTTTATTAAATGTAATAGCGGATGTTGGTATCCTTATAGGATNCATATTGAGAAGGTTCGCTGTTCAAGTTTGAGTAAACTAAGAATGCTTTCCTCTATTTCTTTGCTGGACAACCTATGCAGTGTGTTTGTGACATTAGAATATCATATGTTAAATTTATTTGCACCACTTGTCTTTAATGATGACTATTTTATTAAATGTAATAGCGGATGTTGGTATCCTTATAGGATTCATTGCCTTTTAAGAGATGGTATAAAGTCTGACTCATATTTTAACATCGTTGCTGGACTTGCAAGTTGCTTACGGGGTGTGCACGGAAAGGAAAAATCAGTTGTCTATTAATCAACTTGTTTCAGATGATAGGATTCATAAAGGGATTAAGTTTTTCCTTCTGTAGAGGCCTTGTGCACTGAATCCCGTACGGGTGGTTGCNATTTAAGAGATGGTATAAAGTCTGACTCATATTTTAACATCGTTGCTGGACTTGCAAGTTGCTTATGGGGTGTGCACGGAAAGGAAAAATCAGTTGTCTATTAATCAACTTGTTTCAGATGATAGGATTCATAAAGGGATTAAGCTTTTCCTTCTGTAGAGGCCTTGTGCACTGAATCCCGTACGGGTGGTTGCCCATCATCATAAAGTAGTACATCTGTGTGCTGATATTTTTGTTATTTTACATTTGATTTGATTGCTTTATTACCATGCCATTGCTATTAAAAATACCATTCCAACTTGAAATATTTATGCTTCAGGCATGGTCTATGATTTCTAAATTGACTGAAGAGAAAGCTTCCGCTATTCACCAAAATCAGAAGCTTCGTCAGGAATTGGTATGTTGAATGTTCTTATGGTTGGCTATACTTGTTCATTGTTAAGCACTGATCATCCTAACTTTTCATAATGCTACGTACAATTGATGTCCTTATTTTGACAAAAGCTTCTCAAATCTGTTTTGGTTTGTGCGCCAATCTTCCATCAGTTGGTTGAAACACTTGTATATAACCATATTAATTGATTAAGCATATCAGTGCATACATCAAAGTCGAGTCAGTAGAACAGGGCAAAAACGTATCAGAGACTCCTGGTCTTTGGGAAATACTTAGTTGGTGGGCTGTGTGAGATTTGTGCAGAGAGGCTCGAGTCATTTTGGATAGTAGTCCCATAGAAATTTTTGTCAGACTAAATTTGCGGNGGCACCTCCTGAAATGCAGTGCAAGGACAAATTTCTCATTCAAAGTGTTATTGCACCCAATGGTGTCACTCCTAAAGACATAACCCCAGAAATGGTGGTCAATATTTCTTTGAGCTGTGGTTTTATCATTATAGTGTTCTGGTTGTAGTTTGCTGAGTCTTAGCTGCTGTGCCCATTGTGTGTAGTTTAATAAGGAGGATGGGAAGGTTGTTGACGAGTTCAAATTGAGGGTTATTTACATTCCTGCTAATCCCCCTTCACCAGTCCCTGAAGGATCGGNTGAGTGAGAGAGAGAGCATCCAAAAAAAGTGTAAATTGCATCATTAGTCCCTAGGAATTACCACTTGTATAAATTTGATCCCTATAATTTTAATTTCATAAATTTAGTCCTTGATATTGACACATTTGATCCCTATCTCTAACTTTTGTAATTTAGTTGACCTATGCGAGCTTAAAACAAGCCTGTCGAGCTTGTTTTTTTAAACGGACCTAAAATATTATTCAAGTTTAGCTCGTTTATAAAACGAGCCAAATCTAAACCGAGCCCAAATCAAACTGAGACCGATTAGTTCAATTATTTAAAATATAAATGAGACAAGTTGAAGTCGAGCCCAAATAACTCGGCTTGATTATCAACTCTACCCATCACTTATTATTTTTTGTCACTTTTTTAGACAGATGTTGGTGTTATGGATCTCATTAGTCATGTGTGTAAACAACGGGATTAAATTGATAAAGTTAGAATTTTAAGGACCAAAATTCACAAATGGAAAAAACTCAGGGATCAAAAGAAAACAATTTCAGATAGAAAACATATAAATATATAAAAATAATAATAGAATCTGTTTCCGTATCTGTTTTTTTTCTTCATTCACCCCATTTTCCTGTAAATCTCTGATCAGTCCCCAGAAAACCCTGGATTTCTGTATATTGATTTGTACCCAATCTACGCTCCCAGTTCACCAAATTTTCAAATCTTCTTGTTGATTATCAGTGGAATTAGGCTCATGAGTACCGGTGATTTTCTCAATATTCAACCGACCGAACTCAAGTTCCCCTGTAAGTCTTATTGATTTGGAATTCTTTTACTTTCTGGTTGGTTGCCAAGAAAATCAGTGGCGATTGAAAATATTTAAATCTTTTTGGGATTCTTTTTGTTCACTTTGTTGCTATCTTTAACAACTGAAGTAAGCCAGGTTTTTTATTCCGATTCTGTGGAGTGGAGGTCATCGTATATTAGGGCCATATGATCTGAAGATTCAAAATTTCATGTTTTTATCTAATTTCTCGGTAATCGAACATGAAAATCGATATTTTGTTTTTTAATTGGCCTAATTTTCTTGCTTGTTATTTTGTATAATTGCAATTTCTACTTGGGTATTGATCATTTTTTTGGAATGTTTTGTTGTGAAAGTTGAATTGAGGAAGCAGAGCTCATGTTCTATGCAACTGGACAATAAGACTGATCAGTATATTGCGTTCAAGGTAGCTTTAATTGATAAGTTAGATTTTGACTGCCCATCAATATAATTTCTTTGACTGTCTTTTGATGAACTCTATAATGGAAAAGGTTAAAACTACCAATCCCAAGAAGTACAGTGTCAGGCCCAACACGGGTATTGTTCAACCCGGTAGTACTTGCAATGTTAACGGTAAAATTGCAATGCTTTTTTCCAATCACTTTTCTTCATGTGAATTTGTATCAATGGGATGTGTGAATACTATGCTGTTAGGGTGGGGTGAGGGTGGGAGG